CGGGGGGGCAGACAGAAGAAAAAAAAAATAGGCTTTTGTTTTCCCCCATTTGCCCCGGGTTTTTTGGGGAAATTGGACCCTTACCATTTGGGGTGGTTTATTTTTTTTTTTTTTTTTCAAAAAAGAACCAACAGGTCTTTTTTCCCCGTTGGGTTCATTTCCGCAGGCCCCCTCCCCCCCCCCCCCCCCCCGTCTCTTCGACACAACCCCCGTAACCCCCACAACTCGAAAATGACAACAAGCGCACCCTGTAGCCAAACAAAAACGCATCCGTGAAAACCATGGAAAGCACATCAATGCTGGCACTTTACACGTACTCTTTCACGCTCTCGCTCCTTCTATATGTCCCGGCCTAGTGGTAGCATGGGGGAGGGGCGTGTGTTTTTCCCATTATTTCCCTTGCGTCGTCCCCCTTCAACATACACGCTTGCTTGACCTCGTAATAGGCCCGCGACCCCTATCTCGCCCCTTTCCTATGCTTACACTAGCACTACCTTCGACGTCCGCCGATCTTGTTGGCTTCCTCGCCAGTCAGTAGTGGTGTGCCGGGATACTATGTGTATGTACGTTTTCGCCGCAACGGAACCAACTGTTGCTGCTGCACCGGGGTACTGCTGCGGACAGATCATACCTAGTTATCCCAGGCGGTAACAAATTAAATAATAAAAAAAATCAACACTTCAAACTACTGCCGCTATGTTTCCCCATCCCCCCGGGCCCGTGAACAAGGGCCAAGGGCAGGAAATGATGGGTTTTGCCTCTGACTAGCGCCTGTCTTTAAAAGTAAAGGAAAACAGACCCGTATGCATACTCTGTAGCAATACACGAGAGAGGAAAAAAAAAATGTCCAGAAAATAAAGCGGGAGACGTAAAAAAAAAATGTCCCGAAAAAACTGGAAAAAGAGTAGACTACACGGTCGAAAAGAACGTACATCAAAAAATACATCAGAGTGTCTTGTTTGATAGTTGAACATACGACAGCATTACTCGGAGACAAAGACAGACAGAAAACGATAGATACCAACGGAAAAGAAACCAAACAGCCGTTCGTGTGATCGTCGGCCAAACCCCTACCCAAGCCACGTTCTTGAATGCACGCTTCTTCCATTGCACCCAAGCTTGGGTTCCTACGTTACAAGGTCATCCCGCTTGAGGCGGTCGACACGCGCCTCGAGTCATCATCCTGCACCCTCGAAGGAAGCCGAACAGACAAGACAAGACAGATGGATAAAAAAAACAAAAACAATCACCGCCCCCCGGCCCTCGCTTCCCAGACTTGCAGTAAAATCTCAGATACGAATAAAAAAACATGTTTATCTGGCGGTATTTCGACTGCCCAGCGTCCACGGCTGTGCAACGAACCCCCCCCCCCCCCCCTCCCATCCCCCGGGAAAAAATTGACCGATTTCTCACCCCTTCCCTCCCCCCACAGAACCCCCCTGACTCAAAACAAGTCGCCCTCTCAGTCCACCATCGAGGGCAAGTCTTTTTCGGCGAATACAACGCGACGCACTCCTCTCGTAAACCTATGTCATGCACACAGAGAGCCCCACTAAGCGTAGAGGGAGAGAGAACGGAGCAAGAGCCCGGTGGAGGGAAGCCCCACCGTAGAGTCCTCCTCCTCCTCCTCCTCCCTCCCCCTTATCCTGGCAACCGACGCCGAGGCGCAAAGAACTCCATCCCTTCCGTGCAACAAAGAAGAACTTTTCTTTCTGCGACGCGCAGAGCAGCGTGTGGTTTGATTGAACTCGTGTGGGAAAAGAGGGAACGCCGGAAACGCCTAGGCATGCAAAAGAGCTAATAGCGTAGCACGGACCGCCGCTGGAAAACCTTCCAAGGGCGTCCAGAAGCGATCCATCTACAGCAGTACTTCTACATCGATTGATAGAAAGCGATCCGTCTATCTCCCGTTCGCAGCAGTGCATGGACTCTAACAGTAGTTCCACCCTCTCGTCTCCGGCCTGCCGGCATCTATCATCCCGTTCCAGCCGGCAAATAATGGATCGATTCGTTACACTGCACCTACCTTCTTCAGTCGAACCTTCCACAAAAGACAACTTAACACAAGACAAACAAAAGGCGCTGAAAAAAACGAGTAAATCACTCCAGAACGACCCCCCCCCCGCCCCCCCCAAGGGTGGCTTCCCGCCTGGGGCGAGGGGGGGGGGGGGGGGGGGGAAAAAAAAAAAAATTCCTCTTTAAAACCAAAAAAAGGGACCCGGGGGGGGAAAAAAAATTAAAAAAAAAAACCCCCCGAAAAAACCTGGTAGTGGGGGAAGACCCCTTTTCTCCCCAAAAAGAAGGATTCCC